CAATCCAAAACCACACAGCACTCTGGCTGACCCTGTAACTTATACATGTCTCTGTCACTTAACCACAAACTACCTGGCAGCAGGCCCTATATCCTGGCCACCGCTATCCTTCAGGTACCTACCTCATCAGGTAGGTAGGCATTTGATTAGTATTTGAGACAGAGATGAAGTTTCTGTCATGGAGTGAATGTTGGAATCCCCAAGATTCATGTGTTGCAGACCTAACCCCCAAGGTGACAGCATTAAGAAACAGGGTCTTTGGGGTACAATTAGGTTATATGGGTGGAGACCTTAGAGAGACTGTCACCCATTCTGCCAAGGGAAGACATAGTGAGAAGAGGTCATCTATGAAGCAAACCCCCAGAAAGTCCTCACTGTTCACATCAAGGCCTGCCAGTACCTTGATGTTGACTTCCCAGCCTCCAGAATTAGAAGAAATAAAACTCTGTTCTTTACAAGCCACCTGCCTCAATGTATGTTGTTATAGCAACCTAAGTAGTCCAAGAGCTTCTACTGGAACTGAGACCATCTGGCTCCAAGTCTGTGTCCTCCAATATGACAGTGTCTGTGGTACATGGTTGCCCCATCAGAAGACCATGCAAAGAATTAAAATGCAAAAGGGAAAAGGAAGCTTTCCCGAGGTGAGGTATTTCAATAAAGTAAGACTAAGAATTATCTGGAAGAAATAGAGTGGAAGATTAACACAAACTCTCAGGAGTGGGAATATGCAAATGTGAAAGTTAAAAATGTATGTGCATGTTAGGGAAAAGTAAAAAGACGATTTATCTGTTGGTGCTCAAAAAAAATAGTTTAAAAGTCAAAGATATTCCTGTGCTTGAAACCATTGTGTGTTCTCGGTGACAGATATGGTTACTATGCTGTTATCCTCTTCTAAGTTGTGAGGTTTAGAGGATTCTAATTATGTCAGTATTAAGTAACAGTGCCTTAGAATCCCTTTTTAATCAAATGGGATGAAAATAATTTAGAATATATACACACACACACACACACACATATTTAAGATGTATCTGAGTGTTGTGGATATTAATTAATTCTAGACATGCTGGAAGTGCAGTCTGGGCTGGAGGAAGTCTGGAAGGAGGTCGTACAGAGCAGCAAGGACACAGGGAGCTGGTCAGTGGTGGAAAGCACAGAAGGCCAAGTACAGGCCGGAGAGCTCTGAAGAATGACTGAGAAGCAGAAAGGCCAGGAAAAAGTCCATAAGCATTCATGAGGAAGTGCGTGCAGGTCCCTGAGGCTGAAATTCGGATGGGTGGAGGCACAGAGAATGACCTTCTGGTCATATTACACCAAAGGGGTCAACTATGATCCCTCAGTATCCTTGAGGTTTGAGGTTCCTACAGAAACTAAAATCCCCGGATGCTCAAGATCCTTATGTAAATGGCATGATTTTGCTTGTAACCTACGAATATCTCTGATAGACTGAATCATCTCTAGATCATTTATGAGACCCAGATCTAGAGCTACTAGAGAGAATTCATGATATTTAGTACGAGGTAAACACAACACTATGGACAGAGTTGCTACACTGTGTTGTTTAGGGAATAATGACAAGAAAAAGACATCTGTAAATGTTCAGTATGGATACAGTTTTTCTGAGATATATTTTACCTGTGGTTACTTGAATCCATGAATTCAGTACCCCTGGATATGGAGAGCTGACTGCATCTCATGAGCACAAGCTGTACCAGACGCTGAGATGATACAGATGAGGCACAGATACCGTGTTCAGAGAATAAGCAGAAGAGAAGAATGTAAAATTTTCAGTCTGGACAGACCCATGGAGAAAATTTTATTTCCTCTCTTTCCTGAAGAAGAAACCAAGGGCCAATGTGTACCAACAATAATCACGATCCCATGTCTTCTACAACTAATCCAGGGCTTTCTTGTTGCATCCACAGGTCTAAGTGAAGCTTCTTTTCTGAGGCATATTTGGAAGGCAAAAACAAGAATCACAGCAGAGGATGGAGAAGACAGTTTTACTGTACAAGCAAGGAAAGGATGATGACAGCAGGTATCCAAAAGAAATGGGAATAATGACAAGAAGGAGAAGAGCTGTGCTAAGCACTGACACCACTGAATGTAAGCCACCCAGTGCAGACCTCGACCTCTTCTCTTAGGAAGAGAATCGCTTTCGCCATGTTAAAGACATGAGCCAAAATGACAGAGCTCACATGCTGACGGCCTGTCATCTTCCTAAGTGCCTTCCACTATGTCATGTAATTGACACAATGACCCTAATACGATAAGCACTTTTATTTCCCCCTCTTTGCTGAGGTAGAAACTGAGCATGAATTTAGTAATTGGTCCAAAGTCACAATAGTGGCAGAGCCTGTGGCAGAGTCACAGGCTCTGGGCCTGTGACTGGCCAAAGGAGGATCATTTTCTCAGTGGCTATTGTCTACAGATGAAAGGTTAGGCTTTTGCTTTGAGAAAAAGACCTAATGGCCAGATGCTGGTGGCTCATGCCTGTAATCCTAGCTACTCCGGAGGCAGAGATTAGGAGGATCGCAGTTCAAAGCCAGCCTGGGCACATAGTTTGTGAGACCCTATCTCTAAAATACCCAACACAAAACAGAGCTGGTGGAGTGGCTAAGTGGTAGAGTGCTTGCCTAGCAAGTGTGAGATCCTGAGTTCAAATCCCAGTACTGCTAAAAAAGAAAAGAAAAAGATATAATGGAAGAAAAGTAAAAGTCCTATTGGTTTTTAATAAAGTAAACTAATAGCCAAATTCATCCAGCTATAGAAAATCAATGGAACTCTCTTCAATGTGTTCATTAAATAATTGAAAGAAATGTTTACAAGTGCCTACTCAGCTTACACCTGGTGCTAGGTAGGTATGAAAGCATTCTGACTTCGGTTCGTCAAACCTGTTGAAGAAGTAAATCGTGTGAGCTTGTATTTGTGGAGGACAATCATGCTTCTCTCTCAGCCTGGCCTGTGACCTCCTCTCTCTGGATGAGTGCCTGGGGCCCCCAGGGCCAGACCAGTCACAGTGGTACAGGGAAATCCTCTCCCCTCTCAGAACGACTGGTTCAGGAATGGCCACAGACACATTTTGGGCCAATGAGATGGGATGCGTGACTTATGGGATTTTAGGAAGCAGCCTGTTCTTTTTCTAGAGCTAACCTCTTCCACTTCGCCCATGTCAGAGGAGGCAGCATGGGGAACTAACTGAAGCAGGAGCTGAGGCTATAAGGGGAGACCCATGTCCCAGGAAGCTGACCCCACACGAGGCAGAGAAAACACAGACAGAAGCCCCTGCGTCCAGTGCTGGTGGAGGCTGTCTCGGTGAGACCCTCAGACTCCCTTTGATGTCTAAGGCATGAGCCAGGGCGTTCTGTTCTTCCAACTGACTATATCCCAAGAGACACGTCACTCCACCTACCCCCACTGCTCACCTCTTTCTTTGTGGACAGGTATGCCATGTTAAAACAACACCTCCAGCATGTTCCAACAGGAGCAAACCATAAAACTAATCCTGGAGAGGAGCTGTGTGATACCCCTGTCCCCAGCATTTTGTAGAGAACATTCAGGCTACTTTAGGAGGCTCTAAAATGATCAAAGTTAATCCCCAAATAACTCTGTGGAGTTACAGGAACAGCAGGCTTGACCACAAAGTAGCTCTGAGGGCTAAGGCTGAAGTGTCACTCTCCTGGCACAGACTGTTTCTACAAGTTTACAAAACTCCTTGTGACTCCCTGAGCTCATGTGTGTCACTCACGGATACCTGAGCACATCCATTGCCCAGGGAGCAGCTAACAGAGGCAGCAGGAGAAGCTGACCAGGAAACTGGGCTCGTGTTAGCGTCATTTCTCTAAAACCATGTTGCTCCTGCCCATTACTCGATCTGCTCCTGACCTCACCTCCGTGCACCTCAATACCTGAGCATCAAGTGTGTGTGGGGAATTCAGCCTGTGTAACAGCAAGTGACGACGTCACACTGTAGTATTAAAAACACCATGACACTGCAGACTCTCCTAGATTCAGAAATTCCACACTTGCAAAGAAATGCTGTCTCGAGAATCTTGACACAAAACCCTCATCCTGATGACTGTTGTGGGTCAAATAATGACCCCAGATTCCTATAAAACCTCGACGTCCCATGCTATCCCTTAGTCTGAAATTAGCAAATTATACATATTTTAATGGCATAGTCAAAAGCCCACCTCATGAAATCATATTTAAAATTCTAATAGGCACAGGAGTTTCATTTGTTAAATTGTATTATGACTATACATTTTAATGAAGCTCAATTATATTGGAAACTTTGTAAAAGACCTTTCAAATATTTTGACTACCCTCCCTTTTTCATGTTCAAAGCAAAAAGTTTTATCTACTTTCTATACTTGGATACACTTTCCTATTCCACCAGAATCCGGTCACTTAATTAATATTAAATTAATATTGTATTGAGTACCTATGGTATGCCAGACATTAAGTTCAATGACACAAATACAAACACCAGAGAGGCACTGATCTTGTCTTTAATAGATGCTGGTATAGAACCAGGAGCCATGGTAAATGCTGTAGCCCAGGGAAATACTAAGTGCCATGAAAGCAGCTTACTGGCTGTAAGTCAGGTAAAGGTGACAAAAAGCTACCTCAATAAATGAAGACCTATGTTTGCATACAGCCAACAGCAATGTGATAGAAAGCACTGCAGGTGTCACTTAGCATAGGAGGAGCAAACCTAGAAGTTATCAAATGCGATCTTACAAAGACTAGGGAAGGAGGTTGGACCAGGTCCCCAGTATGATGGGACTCTGACTCACGTTCTGGAACCAAAGAGGAAGTCCCTCATCGGCAAACCTCCACCCTCACCCAAAGGCACACCTGTTCTGGCCACTTTTCTCACTGAGAGATGGATTGGAGCACTAAGCAACGCTGGCTGTAGTCCAGTGAAAACTAAAGGTCCTGACTGGGAAGCCTTCTATTCAACATTGTGTGACAGTTAATAAGACTGACTGGTCACTTACCCAGCAACTCATACAGAGAATTCAGAATGGATTTCCAGGGCTCTGCAGCTTCTCTCCCGGCAACATCAGCGAAGTGTGCAGCACTGCTGTAGACGTGGAGACGGTCTATGCACTCCAGCACCAGGTTGATCATTCCCTGGGGGTGAAAAGTCGCCATCAGACACAAGTTCTGCTCATGAACAAAAATGCAAAACCTCCAAAAAAAAAAAAAACAAAAAAAAAGACATCAGGCGTACAATATGTCTATTACTCATAAAATTGAGATCATTCATCGAAAGGACAGAAAGAGCCACATTTGCATATGAAAGGAAATGGTCTTCAATAATCCCCAGTGCCTTTGTCAAACAAGAATGGAAGGACAATGTAAAAACGCCTGCTCACACTTACATCTGCAAGGTGCCACGTTAGCCTAAGTGGATCCGTCTCTAATGGTATTTATTGCTAAAGCAGCCCAGAGAAGACCGGGGTTCTTAGGCAGACAGTATTACAATTACCAAATTAAAGATATAGCACATTATGTAAAAGAAAGCTGGTGAAAAGATATTTCTAAGGCGAATCAAAAATGCATTCTATAATTCTGTAGGAAGCAGCCTACACTTGAAATGATGCTTCTCTTATTAAACTGCTAAGAACAGATACTACACTTGATCTTAGCCAAAAGGCTGGGAAGCGATGATGCTCCTCTTACTATCATTGCCAGACCAAGCTTTGCAAACTGAGGCACAGACAAAGGAAAAGCTATGAAGGGTTGGCTACTTGAATTAACTTATTTGACACAGAGAATTTAAGAGGTACCATGGACCATGGGACAATTCTGGGTCCTATCCAGATTGTCTTAGATGAGAAATTGAAGAAGGGGAAAAAACCTAGCTCAATATGAGGTTGATAATATTTAAATTGAGATTTTTAAATTTCCATAGCTCATTATTTAGGCTTAGTTCTTCTGGATAGCACATAAGTGCAGTATGGTGAACTGTCCACGATCTTGGTGTGTGTGAAAAGCAAAGCTCTTGATAAACTAATCCATGTTTTTATTACCACTGGTTTATGGTGACACTGCCTTTGCTTTTGTGCCATTATATCTCAGGTCATTTCTTTTATACACACAGTGAAAAAGTCCTCAAAAATTAATGTCAGAGGCCAGGCATGGTAGTGCACACCTGTAATCCCAGCTACTCAGGAGGCAGAGAGCAGGAGGATAGCAGTTCAAGGGCAATCTGGGCAAAAAATTAGCAAGAACTGATCTCAACAAACAAATCAGGCCTGGTGGTTCATGCCTGTAATCCCAGCTACACAGGAGGCACAGATAGGAGGATTGCTGTCTGAGGATGGTCCAGGGAAAAAGTATGAAAAATAACCTAAAGCAAAAAGTGCTGGGGGAGTGGCTCAAGCAGCAGAGAGTTTGCCCATCAAGTGTAAGGCCTGAGTTCAAACCCCAATACCATCAGAAAGGAAAGGGAGGGAGGGAGGGAGGGAGGCAGAGAAGGAGGAACGAAGGGAGGGATGGAGGGAGGGAGGAAGAGGAGGTGGAGGGTAAGAAGGAAAGGAAAAGAAAAAGGAAAGGCGTGCAGGAATCACTGAGAAGAACTGAAACCCTCGCCCAGCTCCCTGACTGACCCCATCAGCCCCAAGTTCGCCATCTCCCCCACTAAAACTCCCGAATGTCTGGCCCTAGTTTCTACACCAGCACTGGAACATTGGACTTGTTTACTTGTCCCTTACCTCACTCTGTTTGTAACGCATGCACATGACATCTTTTTAGCAGAGGAACTCTTGGTAAAATAAGCCACGCACACAAATGTAATATATGCAAAAGGAAAAGAACGTGGGCTCTTTGCCCATGAGGAGAGCCCAGAGCTCAGCCTCTTCCCTGGGGTCCTCTCAGGGTGGCTTCCACCCCCAACACAAAGCTCCCGGGGCCCACTGCACTTCCAGGAAGCCTCAGAACCTGCTGACCAGTTTCCTTGATGTTGGCAGGTTCTGTATTTGTGTCCCCAACATGCAGTATGTGCAAATGGCCAGGTGAGGGCTGGGTGCACAGCCTAGGTCCTTGCCAGGTGATGACAGAGACTGTAAAGAAATGGCCAGGCTCCCCCCAGGCCTGTTGTCCTGTCCAGTACACCTGCTCCTCCTCACCTCCCCCTCTACACAACACATGAAGCTGATGGGGTCTTTCCCCACCAAGAAGTTGTTTGCCCAAGAGCATGACAGAAGAATGACGGGGCCTACCTCTTCCTGGAAGAGATTCTGCCGGTTCTTCAGGGCCCGCAGCCGGTTCTGTTTGTCCTCGTGCTCCAGGTGCTCATCCGGGGGGTGGAGGTAGCCTATGAGGTCCTGCAAACTAAGGCTCATGGACTCTATGGGCAGGTCGACCACGGGCGTCTTGGCTTTCTTGCTCAGAGCATCCAGGCCCCTGAAACCAACAGCCAGCACCTCTCTATGTCAGGGTCCCCAGATTTAGTTTGCTGGGTTTTGATTTGGAGATGTTTTCACAGTGTCACTCCCTCCCTATCTACTGTAAAGGGGAAGTATAAGAAAGGGCCTCCACCAGCAGGAGTATGAACACACTCCCCCAAGAGCCTAGACACTGTGTCTTGTGAGCATCACCTACGTCAGAGAAGCCAGCGTCCCAAGCCACTCACCCACGCAGCCCTGGCCAGGTCAAAGGACCAGTGCCCCCCAGCAGCAGCCTGCACATGAAACCAGCTGGCATTCTCTTTACAACACCTTGTACTTTGAGACCTAAGGCCACATCAACCAGGTTCACGATGCCAACATCTGTTTGTGGTTGACTTGTTTGTTTTGCAAAAAGGAATTCTTTAAATTTTGCTGTCACTGACACGAGCTGCTTTGCTTAATTCTTACCAGCTAAAAACCATATTCTCGGGCTGGAGGTGTGGCTCAGTGATAGAGCACTTGCCTAGCATTTGTGACGTGTTGGGCTCACCTCTCAGCATCCAAAAATAATTTTATACTATGTATCTATGTATATGTCACATATTACATGGAGAGAATCTAATGGTGCTAATTTAAAAAATCGCTGTTAGTCAGTAAACAATGTACTAACACGCCTTTCTCTTATCCAAAGGAATGCATTCAAACATTCAATTTAGAAACACTATCGTGATGTATTTTCTATCTTTTCAATAAAAACACAACAGGGATGGAAATGTGTTCATTTGTTCAACTTACTGAGATTCTAACTTGCAGTTTTGAATTTGTTTGAGAAGCACACTAAAGAAGGTTACTTTTTAAAAGAACATAAAATGGATGCCATGACAGAGCAAGTCAACACTTCTATCACAGCTGACACCAGAATGCACTTCGTCAGGACCAAATTTAACACAAAAAGATACCATGCTTCCATTCCCACTCACTGCATCGGTGAAATTACACAGCAACACTTTTTTGGAGGCCTGTTTCTGCTAATTTCCTGACTTTATTGGCACTTAAATTTTAAAAAACAATAAAATCCTGATGAATGAGAGTTAGCTTAACTTTGAACTTTACACTGCTTGAAGACTTATTTAAAATGCATTATCCTTTAGAATATTCAGATTTGGCTCTAGCAGCCAGCAGAAGTCATGAAACTGCAGTTAGTCTAAAGCTTTTGCCTGAAATTCTATACTAACCCTCTTCTTAGAACTCACCCCTTCCCTACTTCCTTCATGTCCGTTTCCCCACTTATTATGAGAAATAAGTATGATACAGAGTGAACCAAAAATAGCGTAGTATTTTCAAGTAATAAGTACAATATAAAAATGGCACCTGCCCAGCTCTAAGCCTTACTGCATCTGATTAAATTAGGCAGAAAAGTGGAGCACTTTTCTATGATGAGGCTAAATGCCACTCAGACACGCTAGTTATAAACACGCATGCACACACACAGTGGAATGGTTCACAGAAGAAGAAAATAATTAAGTGAATATTAATTCACTCTGAAGTAGGACAGGTCTTTTTGATGTTGGAAAGCCAAAACATGACTTACTAGTGAACTACTGTGAAAAAACTACTTTAGAATTATTTCCCAAGCAAATACATTACGGGGAATACTTGCAATTTATATATAATGGCAGGAAATGAGTCTCTCTAAGATAAAAGCTCATGATGGCCTATGTAAAAATAGTAACATGATATTCTGTGAATCACAAAAGAGAAAAATATGAAGAAATCTGGTCGATAAGTATGAAGTGTATCCATTCCCATAATAAGCAAATAAATGCAAATATTCACAAAATATGATATAGATACTAACTTTAAAAATACAATATATACCTCGTTTTCTAAAATTTACATTATATTCTGTATGTGTGTGTGCATATGTGTGTGTGTGTGCGTGTGTGTGTGTGTGTGTGTGTGTGTGTGTGTGTGTGTGTGTATAATGTTATTTTGGTTTGATTTTCAGATTTTTGAGATAGGGTCTCACAACATAGCCCAGCTGGCCTCAAACTCATGGTCCTCCAGTCTCAGCTTCCCCAGTGCCGGAGTTACAGGCATGCGCCATTGTGTATGTTCAGAAGAATTTACCCCATCAAATGTGAGAACCGAAAGAGCTAGATAGCACCCAGCATGAGTCACACCGTGCGCTGGTCTGTTACCAGAAGACACTTCGGTAACATTTGATTTGGTTTGTGGGTGTGCACTTTTTCCAATTATTAGAAAAACTAATTATTACACGGATCACTTTATTTCTTAGTGTAGTCTGAAACTCATCAAGTTTCTAGACTTCATCACCCTCACTGTAAAAAGGAATTAAATAGATCCAGCTTGGAGATACAGACTAGAATGACTGCTCTGCCCGATCAGACACACAATCTCCAAAAGCACAATTTTATTAAAAGTTCATTTAAAAGAAAGACACAAGATTGCCTAAGTAGCACTGTTTATCATGTTTGCTGACCAATCATTGTATATTTAGAATCACAGTGTATTTCAGAATCATCTATTTGTAAAGTTGGGAGGAAACGAAACTAAAATACCCAACAGCCATCACAATGACAATTACCTTATAAACCTATTGAACAGGAAAACCGTGCTCCGGATGACCCTGGCTGTGCGTGATTCCTCATGTTGAGACCTGGATAAGTTCAAGCCATCGTCCATGTGGCCTTCGTGATGCATGATGGCCTGCAAGAGAGTGCAAACAAAGCCATCGTCCACACCACCTCATGCCCAAGCCAGAGCTAAGAAGGCAGGCTCGCAAAAAGTTGAGCCATAAGAGTGAGTACAATCCAAAGGCAGAGAGACACAGAGTTACTGTGCCAATAAAACAAACCAACCATTCAGTTATTGCTCAAGAGTCAATCAATGTGCCAGGGTGAGTAAAACAAACAGCTGTGCATTTTCACGTCTCTACACTCAACAACCACAGCTTCGACAAACTGAACAAATGGTAACACTATACAGGGTGCACTCCTGCACAAAAGTAGACCAATGGACAGCTGAGTGCTGGGCACCACTTGTAAAGCATCTAAGTTCTAAGTTCATGCACATGTGATTAGTTCTTTTGTTAGACTTTGTTTTTGAACTTTCTGTAAAAGAATAGCACAGGTAAGTGCAAAAATCTGAAGTGAACAGCTCAATGGATTCCACCAAGTGAACACACGTGTGAGCAACACTCAGCTCATAAAAAGGGATCACGCCCTCTTCCTGCCCAACCTTCCCAAAGTCCACCACCCAGACTTTGCACGGCACAGACCAGCTGTGCACTCTGTACAAGAAGAGGCACACACTAAGTCCCCCTTTGGGTCTGGCTTCACTCAACACTTACAGCAAGATAATGTAGCAACCCAATCAAGAGTTGAACTAAAATTGGTAGCTGGAACTAAAATTACTCGCTATCTAGACAGCATGCCAAAGGAACTCTGAATGCCCAAATCAACGCAACTCAGATAGATTTGTACTCTGAGGCAAGACTGTACCCTTGCATGCCTTCATTAATAAAAAAAGAAATGACTAAAATCAAGGAACTTATTTTTCATGGTAAGGCTTCTTAAAAAGGATGCTGAAAAAGCAGGGAAGTGGAATTAATGAAGATAAAAAGTGAAATTAATGAACTAGAAATAAGATACTAGAAAGGATGAATGAGCCCCAAATTTGGTTGTATGAGAAGAAAAATAGATAAACATCTCACAAACTAGGCTAAAAATAAAACAAGGAGCAAAAATCAGAAGAGGGGAAATTCTAGTAATGTAACACCATGTACATCTCCATGGCAAAAACAAACACAGCCAGCAAGACCAACTGGTTAATCAAGAAGAATAGGAAGAGTTCATTGAAAATTAAGAATAATTAACACGGCTGGGTGTAGTGGCTCAAGCCTGTAATCCCAGCTGCTGAGGCAGGAGGACCACCTGGGCCCAGGAGCTTGAGAATATGGTCTGGACCACCCAGAGAACTCATCTCAAAAATAATATAATAATAATAAATAAAATCCCCACAACTAAGTGGAAAATTCATGAGACAAGTTTCTTCAGAAAATATTGCAAAGATAATTTAAGATTCAATGTTCAATATTTAAAAGATCTAAGGACTAAGTATTTTACAGACGAGCCTGACAAGCCTCCCTCACGGTAGATAAGGCTGGTCCAGGTATTGGTAAACTGGCTCGTCACCTATTTTGGGGAACAGTTTTCAACATATTTAAAGGGTTGACAAAAGACCAAGGAAGGACATTTCATGACATGAAAATTGTAAGAAATTCCAATCTAGCTAATTTTCTTTAGACAATTTAGTTTCCCTCATGAATACATATGAAATAATTCTGAATAACATATTAGTGAACTAAATCTAGTAGGATTTCACAAGAATAACACACTACAGACAAGTAGGGGTTAGTCTATAAATATAAGGATTCCTCAATAACTGGATGTCTGGTAACATTTTATCAGCAAGTTAAAGAAGTCTGAAACATGATTTTTAACCCATTTAACTAATAAAATTCAGAAATCACTGTTAATTTTTCCAAAGTTAAGTAAAATAGGAGTAACAGGAGACTATTTAAATGTTAAAATAATTTCAACTGTCTTCATGATGCAAGAAGTTATAATTTCTATGAAGTAGGAGTAAAAATGCACCAAGAAAATATGTTGAAGTAAATAAAAGCAATCTGAAATAAAAAGATAAGCTGGGTGCGGTTTTTAAAGGTACCTGAGAAAGCTAAAATTTCAAAGGTACTGAAAGCATTTAAAGAGAAAATAGCACAAAGGTGACTCGGAAGACAGCCTGCACAGAGAACAGGACTGAGCACGATCCTCAGAAAGAAACTACAAAGGACAACAGGCTTCCATTCAAGGACCACCAGGGAGCCTCCTGTGGTGTCTAGCACGGCGCTGGAATCACGGGAGGTGCTCATACAGGGAGTCGTGGAGACGGAGAGCATGGGGACAGCAAGCCAGGACCGCACACCTGTCTCATCCTTTGCTTTCTGTCCCTCCCCTTGGTTAACCTTCAGCTGAACTTGGTTAACCTTCAGCTTATTGGCTTCTGAAGACCTCAACAAACAACATTAGCAATTTGAACCCAAACCCAGAACAACAGGGATCTGTGTCACACAGGCATTTTGCTAAGTGAAAGAAGTCGTAAACGGAAGAGCGCACGCTGTGTGATTTCATTTAGATGAAGATCTACATCAGGCCAATGAACCAGTGGTGGAAAGAGATCACCCGAGGGAAAGGGGAAGGGACAATGGGGGGCCTGAGCCACTTTCTGTATAAATGGAAGTATCTCATACTGAGGTGGCTGTGAGGGTCACACCAAGTGACCTTTAGCCAAAACTCCACAACTGAGCTTTTGCATTCCATTGCATAGAAATTTTACCTCTAGTAGGTGACAACAAATGACAGTAACAGCCTACTGGGATATGGCAGGAGGATGAAAGTGTGACAGAAACAAGGGCCGCGTTGAAATATTGGTGCTGCATGACAGGTGGAAAAGGACATTGTCTTATTTGTTATTTTGTATACTTGGTATCTATTTGAATTTTCCAAAAGTTTTACAACATCCAGGCTCAACTGTAAGAGGCAAGAAATGCATCATAAATACTGAATCCATACACACGCATTTGCGTTTATGAACGCAGGTAAAAGAAGTTAAAAGCAAGTGAGTCTCCTAGTAATGATAAGAGTCCTGCAGAACAGGACCTCCACCCACAGCCCTGGGGAAGGTAACATTAAAACATCAAGGCAGCATCAGCTTTGACTTCCCTAAAACCCACACTGGATCACAATAACAGTGAATAATCTATACTAGAAAGTGTGCATTGAAAATTAAAAATTTTGCCCCACTACAGCTTTCCTTAGCAAGGTCTCACATTTCTGGAAGAGTCTTGTTATTTGGGTCTGCGCACAGGGCTGCATGTCATGTGTAAGAACATGAGTGATGTACTACCATATATTCCCTCAGGGAACTCACAAATTAGGAGAGAGGGACTTGGACCCACATAAATAAAATAACGCAAGGAGTAAAGATCAAATGTAATAAGCTATTTATAAGTATTATGAAAACACAGAGGAAGGTGGAGTGGGTCAGCTGAGATAGGAAGAACTTCTAAGATGATCTTTAAATCTAATCTCTGAAGTATGGAGAAGAATTAGATGGGCAAGAGCAGTTTCGAATGATCCTCTAATTGGAACAAACAATCCCTGCAAAGGTGCAGGCATAGAAAAGCTGTGTTTTTTCTGAGGGACCACAAGAAGTGTACAGAAAGGGACATGCTGGGAAAACTGAACAGAATGCCTACAAAGTGGCAAAAGAATAAGGGACAAGAAGGGCAGCACATCACCACCAAAGAGTCACCAGCATAGAGTGTGACTGCTGCCTTGTAAGCAAGAGGAGGTCAATGAAGGTCTTAGTAGCAGCAAGGACAGAGGACAGAGGGTATTTGGTTGACTAAGCTAGAATCCAGAAGACAGTGAGTGTCTTGACTTAACTGGGTCACATGGGTGATGACACCTCCAGCAATGGTGGTGGGGCCAAAAATTGACCAGTTTATTACTAGTTCACTTTCTCCAATGCTTTTACCCATTTAAAAAAATTGTGCAGATGGGTTTGCACAAACTGGTGCCCAGTGACTTGGTCTCCAGCATCATTTGGCTACATACTGAAATTCACATATGGTGGGATTTGACCTTTCACATATAAAACAACCTGAGCAGGTGGCTGGAAAGGTTTGCTGTCTTTTGGTGGTGTGTTTGTGGTTTCTGTTCATAGAAATGTCCAAACCGCATTTGTATCTAGTCTTACCTTACGCTGTACGGATCCCATTCGCACAGATTTCACATCCACAGACTGGTAGGTCAGCCACAGCCCTGTATCCACGTGCTGTATGTAGCATACCGAGTCCCCATATTTGATTTCAGAAATTCCCATACCATCGACTTCTTTTCTCACGCCCACATCCAATTTTTCCTGAGTAGTAAAAGAGAGTAGCAAATATCCTTTAAGTACAGGAGTATAGCAATGGAACTTTGCCGTGTTGGAAACACGTTCCTTGAAAACTCAGCCCTCTGAACTCCCCCCAAATAATAATAATAATAGAACTAATCAAAGCTGTAACTCAGTTTCTACTACTGCAGTTTCCAACCTGGACTGCACAGGTTTTCGGTCCTTAGGGGAGTGAGGCTCAGGAACTCACTGTCTAAATGTGTGAAGGCAAGGGCCTGATGTACCTCCTGTCTGTGGCTTCTTACTCCTTTCTTCCTCGATTAACTTCGATGCTCAAAATTACTTTGCTTCTTCTATGTCTTTGGTTATATGATTGTTGCATGAGCTTAGCTGTGGCTACACAAATGTTTCTAAACGTTAGGTTAAAGTAAAATTTATATTAGTTATACCAATATAATATTTATATTTTATTTATGCTTACAAAGGAACACTTCAGAAAAAAACAAAAATCAAGATTTTACAGATTGTTTCATGTCATTTGCATTTTGTACTAGCAATTAATGATCCTCAAGTGATTAGAAACTCTTCTTCAAATTAAAATTGAGTTGAAATTCTCAATATAGAAAGGTCAAGGCCATCTAAGAAAATAAACAACTATCAATTAGGTTGAATTAACTATTATGCAAATAACTTGAAACCCTATTCTAAGAATCTGCAATAAAACAGAAATAAACGATTCTAATTTCATTGTATCAAATGAGGTAAACTACTAATCTACTTATACCAACCCCGTCAATAGGGAAATTAAATTCTGGGGAAAATATAACAACGTAATTATCTTTTCAGAAGAAAACAATGAGCCTCTGAACATTTTTTTCTTTTATTCAAGGAAATTAGTTTGTAGTCTAATTATTTATGGGCTAGTGGACTGTGTTTTGAGAAGTCACGCGCTCATTTACTATAAATTTGTGTTTTGTCTGCGTTCTCCTGCAGTGTTTTGCATCACTCTGTGGACTGGGAGTTTTAATTACAAAATTTACTGATGACTGTGTTTTCATAGCTACTCTGACCCCGAGTCAGGTGAGACTGGCAAAAGTGATGTCAGATGAAGGAACTGTGACCCACCATCCACCTTCTTCCTTTCCTTCATTTCCTGCCCTTTGTCATTGCTCATGTTTAGGAGAAATTCAGAAGAAAAGGATCAAGGTGCTTTAGACAATGTAAGTGTAGTATGAGCTAAGAACACAAAAAGGAGTAAAAGCACCCAACAAAAACTAGCCTCCATTACTACAAATAATGCACTGATGCGTTTAGTAATATTACCAAAGCTCCAGCCAGGGGCCTCTCTCTAAATGAGCGGCCTTTCATTCTGATGTTGGCTTTTGAATTTGATTTTTCTATTGAATTGTTCTGCTTTAGGAGTTGATGGAGTGATTACCTTGCACAAATCCTCCCACGGACACTATTATAAAACTTATTATAATAAGGGGGAATTCTCCTTATTTCCATTAGAATCTAATGGAAAGCACCTGAGAGGGATCAAAAGAGAGAGGACATGGAGAACATATTTGTCTAGAAAAGTGACCAGTGCCTGGCCTGACTTATAAGAAGCTCCCTTTGCCTCCGAGCACACCCAGTCTCATCTGCCCACTCTTCAGGCAGAAGGGAACCATTGTTGTACTGGCTGGAGGTACCAGCGGCAGCACCTTAGGGTTCACAAGCAGCCATAAAACTAGATAGGATAAATCCTGGACTTATATTGTTATAAGATCCATCCAAATTCCAAGTTATGCGTGCTCAGGGAGGTCCAGTAACGACGCAGTTGGAATCCAAAAGTACAAGCAGCCTTCACTGCCAAAGGAGGAGAAGGTGAACTTTCAACCCAACAAGCTTAACTGCCTGCAAAACCAAAAGCACCTCAGGAAAAAAAAAATTAGTCCTACAATGTATCATTTCTAATACCCAATATACTGTCAATTACATGTGAATGTAGAAAAAAATAAGAAAATGTGAGCTATGGTTAAAAAAAAAAAAAAGTACATACCAAAAAGGAAACAGAAATTAAAGCAGAGATGCCCACAGACCTTACAGCCAGCAAAGACCATAAAGTTAACTGTTACAAACATAAAATGCATTCAATGGCATAAATGAAAATATACTCATGATGAATAACCAGATGGGTAATCTTAAGTAAAACTAAAAACTATAAAAAGTGAAATGTAACAGGCAAAACAAAGACAATAACTGAAATACACAATCAGCTGTATTTACTTAACACGTGATTGGAACTGTATGATAGAGAAGCAACGACGTTTGAATTAGACCAAAGAAACTTTCCGGCCTGAAAACTTTCCACTGAAAACCTCCTAACATGAAACAGAAACTCTGTCATTAAACACAACTTCCCTCAAAAGACGTGATACAATTTAATTCCGAGGCTCCCTAGACCAGTCAAGGAAATTCTGAGATCCTCACTATTACACATTTTTGTTCATTACACATTTTTGTCAGTCAAGGAAATTCTGAGATCCTCACTATTACACATTTTTGTTCATTACACATTTTTGTCTGTCTTGAGATCTTGAGAACTTTAAAATGCTCAAATATTAAAAATAAAAAACACTCTTTTCAACACAGTCTGAAGTTATTACAAACTTCGCTGTTTTCACTACAGCAGGTTGGTTTGGACAGATATTTTCTCTTTTGATATATGTAGTCTCATGAACACTGAACTTCCACTTAAGGGTAAAATATTATTTATTGAAATTAGATCCTCAGGACCAGATTGGGACCTAAAAATGCCAGATTGTTTATAAAGAACACATCCTCTTCATAGTTCAGAAAATGTGCTGTGCATACCTCTCAACATGAGCTCTCAAAGAGCTCCAGTCCAGAGTGTATGGAAAAATCTAACTTTCGAATGAACACCAAAATGATTCCACATGTACAGGAGATTAGCCTGAAAATATGAAGTGGTATCTCTGCACTGATTTCACAAATTGGCTTGTTATGGAGTCAAAACCATTTTGAAGCCACTGTGACCTAATTAAGTGATCCACAGGTAAAAGATTTACCAAACTAGATTCATTAAGAAATTCAAAGGACTCCTACAGAACTATATTCTAATTCTTGGACCAGAGGTAGTTGAGGGGATTCTTCTAGCATTAACTGAAATCATCCCAACTTAGTTTGTCAGGTGACAGTTAAGAAAAAACAAAAAGGTCCTTAGATGGTGGAGTTTTCGTTTATTTTATGCTTTGAAATTGGATCTCATTAAGACAACAGTTAATAATAGGACAAATAAAAAGGTCAAAACAATTTTTTACTTTACTTCTTTATGGTGCCATATTGTACATAAAAATTCCTGGACTGACAGGCTAGGCCAGGTTCTACCCATGCAAGGCAAGATGCAAAAATCAACAGCTCTTTTTATTCCTGGGATTTAGGAGACGCTGCTTGTAGCTCGTGGAGATACAAGATTTTAAAATGTCTCTGGCTAGGAGGGCCTTTTGATGGGATGTCAGTTGTGATGAAGCAAGGTCACAGGGCCCTCAGAGGAGCCCTCTTACTCTGTTAGAGCCAGGCAAGGTGATAGGATGTCACTCCTATGACTCGGTTATATTTTATGGCAATAGGAAGGGATCTTGCAAATGTAATTAAGATCCCTAATCAGCTGGCTTTGAGATTGCCCTATGTGGGGGACATGTAACCTAGTGAGCTCTTTAATGGCTCCAGGCTTCGCCTGAGCACAGAGACTACAAGAGCTGGTGTTCTTGGGGTCTGCCCTGCTCTCCATCTGTCCTTCGTGTCTATGGACAACAGCTGCTGTGCAGGCCCCAGGGGTCAGCCTGCTGCTGATTGAGCTTATCAATTCACTTGCACTACAGATGTGGGGCTTCCTCAGCCAGCCCTCAGGGTCTCACAAAGCATGTCTGCCCACCCTGGACTTACACCTGCACCCTCCTGGCTCTGCTTCTCTGGCTGAACACTGCCTGACAGGCTTCACAGTCACACATAAGGCATTCCCTCTCTGCTTCATGTCTACTAAAAAGAGTCAGCGTAAAAACTGGAACTGAATTTCTTTCTGTAAAACCCTAATTTCTATTGTGTTCTGTTAGTTTATCATCACCTCTTCTAAAATGTTTACTTCAAACTTTTTAAATTTAATCTGGATAAAATTCAAAGTTCTTCCCCATTGACAATTGCAATAACTATTTTCAAAAACAACTAAAAATAAATCTAGTTTTTAGACATTTAAGCATTAATAATTGTGATAGATAATGACAGGTAAGCCATCAATCTTCTCTATCAGCTGTTATTATAATGACTAAGTCTTTGCTTCTCTTAATAAAGTTCCCACCTTATTACTTATGCTCAAAGTCTGGACCTGTCACAGAGCTTTTCTCAGGCTTAACTCCATAATGAAGATTAAAAATAGCCTTTTAACTCCATAGGGTTGTGCTAGAATTGAGTGAAATAATTCATGAAAGGTGATCAGCCCACTGGCACATAATTCATTGTTAAACATTACTGTCACTTTCATTGTGTTTGAGTGTATGTTTTAAAACGTATACATTCTCTGAACCAAGAATAAAAGTCTCAAATAAAAATAATATGCTACGAATTATGTCCTAAAAATGTCCTGATCTTTCTGTCCTTATTTCCCTAATCCTCACAATCTCACTGATGGTCTTATTTGAGGCTGTCATATTCTCAGTGCTCCAAGCAGGAAAGCTGGCGGAAGCCATCCGCTGAAAGTGGTTCAAGGGAATATTAAGCTAAAAAAACCTTACATCGGAGGTGGGAAGCTGAACACATCAATGACTGGCAAGACCCACCTCACAATTAAAATTGACATTTGAACACATTGTAGAGTGCGGGCTAAAAGTTCTAAGAGTAGACAGGTGAAAATACTCATTACATTTGAAAGAAAAAGTCTCTCCTAGAATGTTAGCATTCATTCTTCACCTTGGAAATCTAACAGAAATATAAAAAGGTGTGGCATGACTTCCAGCCTACCAGGG